TTTTAATTCATCAATTATCCATCAAGTTTTGGTATCATCGTCCAGATCATATTTAAATTGTTCTTAAGACCGATTCGCCTTCAGGTCCATTTATATTGTATTTTGTTATATCAACATCCATTCCCGTACACGGTTGGAGTTTAAATTGGCACTATAGTCTATAATTGTATCCCGCTCTCCCATTCAACCGTTACAATAGTAGGGAGTCAATGTGATATGTATGCTGCATAAATCGGGGCACTTAAAGAACACTGAACTCAGTGATCGACGATCACATGATAAACATTTCATGACGTCATTTGTTTACCAGAACTAAACAAGCTGGCCTAAACTAACCCTAACCTAGGCCGAGTGATTGTCATGTGATACTGTGATGATCACTCCCCATGCTAAAATTTATATATTAATATTATATATGGCAACATATAATTTTATAACCACATACGTATTCTTATATTATTTGCAAGTTACAAAATCGAATTTTCTTTATTAAAAAGGGAATTATGTCATTTTGAAAATACATAGTTTTTATTATAATAAATTTTTTAATAAATTGATCGACAAAATTTTAAAATCTTACATAGTGGGCCAACCATATTATAGCGCTGCTCTACGTTTGTAAATCATTTGGCGTGGAACACCCCGATTTACGATATTGTCTATCGCCGTCGTTAGAAGAATCACGTGACTATAGAATAACGCAACACTGATCGAGAATTTTTGCCGGTCAATTTTTCGAAATTTTGCTACTACGATGAGTTGATAATTTTGAAAGATTAAATTATATTGAAACATATTAATCACATCTAATTTTCAAATCATTTAACCTTTTATGATAAAGGTTTTTTAAAAAATCGATTGGTATCTTTATAGGGCTTATGTTGCTTTATAAAGTTACTAGTAAATTTTTAAAAAAATCAAAAGTTAAATTGAAACAACTCCGATTGTTGATTAATTCGCTTTACAGAAAGAGAATTTTGTTTGAATGCATTATAAGCCAATGCAAAATCATATTAATAATCGTACTACGCAAAGTTTGAATTATAATCATATTTATTCATCGAATGATTTAAAATAAAATTGATGACTTGGCTTAATAAACTTTTTTTTATTTTATTTTAGCTTTACAGAAAGAGAATTTTATTGAATAGTAATTTTTAAGTTGAATACAATATAAACCAATGTGTTTATATCAATCGTTATACTTAGGAAGTTTTAAAATAAAATTGATGACGTAGCTTTACAGAAGAGAAATTAGTTGGTTTGTATTATAAGCCATTATAAATCATGGCAATATTTTTATTTACGCAATATTTTTATTTAAATTAAAGTTATAAAACGAATGTTTAAAATAAAGATTATCTTAAAAATTGATGCCACTTTACAGAAAAAAGAAATCGCTTGATTTGTCATCTTCATGCTGAATGCATTATAAGCCAATGTAAATCATATCAATATTTGTACGTACTCACACTAACTTTGATTTATAATTAAACTTATTATATATTATCGTAATTCACATTTATCATTCTCATGATCTCTCTGATTACTTGCTTCACTTTTTTTGGTTCTTTTTCTGCTACTTTAATGTTAGATCTAGAGATTTGAACTAAATCAGATATGCAAATTTGTCAGCAGGGTGGAAACAGGTGAGTTCAATCCTACTGAAAAAATTATGAAAAAATATAATATGGTGAATGCGATAAATGTTGTGTTACATGATTTATTTTTAGAATGATTATTAATAATATATATTGAAAACTTGTAGTGGAGCTTTTATAATTTTTAAAGAAATGTTTTTCAAATCGAAAAAGCTCGATAATTTATTATTTCAATATAGAATAAAAGCGCCGAAAGAGAGTTTCTTAATACATTCCAGATATTAGATAACTTAAGTGTGTTCTGGAGGTATTATATAATCAACATAGGTTTAATTTGGTTATCTTTCTCTCTGGCCAATAATCTTGAATATTCTTAATTTGTTCTTGACATACCGATTCATTTCTAATTCTTCCTTGGTTCATCCATCATATTCCATTGCATCTTCTATTGTAACTTCTGTTGCATTATTTCCATTGCCCCCGTAACCGGTTTTGTATATTATTAGACACAGTTGTATTACTATATGATAAACTTAATCTATTACCTTATCCGACTATTGGCTGAATTATCCAAGTCGTAGATGGAATTATCTAGTTTCAAACTCTAGTTAAGTAGGGCCATAAAATGACTGATACTTTAAATTTATCTTTATTACCTCTAGTTCTAAGATAATAGCGATAGTCAAAATTATAAAATTTTAGTTAAGTTCTTTGATTTATTATATTCATTTTTTATAATACTGTGATGAAACTGAGAAGGTTATTAAATCTGTTAAATGACTATAGTACTATATATATATATATATATATATATAAATATATATTATTATTATTATTATTATTATTATTATTATTATTACAAAAAAGTTTAAATCAATTAATCAATTAATAATATTATTTTTTTGAACCTCTCAAAACTGACCCTGACAAGGTCTACCAAGTCTGTTTCCGCTATAAAAATCTAATTGTGTATTATGTTTTCAGTTCCGATAACTCTCAATAATGATACACACCAAGTATCGGCTTTGAAAAGTTCATTAGTATAGTATATAATTTAATTTTAAAAATATTTTTCTACTGATCAAATCAAAAAAAAAAAATCATTATTATTATAATATAAATTTTTAATAATATAAAATATTTTCTATATGTAATTTTGCATTAAACATTTTGCTCTACTTTAACTCTCAATTTAATAGGTTCTAGGCCATTTTTTAAAATATTTTAATACTCATTTTATTCTATTTTGCTGTACTATGAATTTTTTTAAGAATTTTTTTTTTAAAAAAATAATACATAACGTTAAAATAGACATAAAAAACTGGTAAATTTAAAAAAAATTTTAAGCGTACTTTGAAATTTAATTTTTTATTTTGAGTGTATCTACAATTTTATACTAGCCTATAACATTAGGAGGTTTTGTAAAATCAAAAAAAAAAAATAAATTTTAACAAAAATTTTATTATAGTATATTTTTTAAAGTTCAAGCATAAACTATGTAATAACCTAAAGACGAGCATGGTTAAGAAACCTTTATTCAGAAATGAATAAGTCATACGTAAATTATATTCCTACAAAAAAAAAAAACTTACATTATTAAAACAACCTGCTTTGCCACATCTCTTTGTTGAATTAATCAATCAAATTTTAGATGTTTACGAAAAAAAAAAACAGTACACAACAGCAAAAACCTGTATTTCTGCATATTTTTGAAAATATTTTAGAATTTGTAGTTTTGTACAGAATTATATTTAATTTTTTGCATTTATAGTATCAAATTCGAAGTTTTCATTTATATTTAATTTTTTGCATTTATAGTATCAAATTCGAAGTTTTCATTTGATTCATTATTTAATTTTTTGTAAATCTACACAGAACTACACTAAAAAAATTCTCATGTGCAGAAAAAATACAGGAAAAGGCCTAAACATATCTCGGAACAGAGATAAAAACTTTCGGAAGCAATTTTGCCTTTACTATTTTACCTAATCCTATAATCTCAAATAATCCAACCTAAAATCAAATAAACGTATACTTTGTTTTAGATAAACCAAATAAAGAAAGTAAAAATGGGACAGTGATATTGGTCTATCACTTATACTAACATTAATGTTAACTTACCCTAGCTCTGAATCAATGTTAACTCTAACCTTAATTTTAACCGATTATTCAGTAATAAATAAATGTACGTACGTGCGTATGTTGTAAAAGGGTAGATCGTCCTGAAGAGTGCTGCGGTGATCGACGTGTACAATTCTTATAATTCCAAGAATGCCATGAACTCGGAAAAATTTTGGGAATTATGAAAGTTCAAAAATAATTAGAATAACAAGAATAATTAAAATAATTAAAATAACAAGAATAAAAATAATTAGAATTTCTAGAAATTCCATTATATGCAAAATTAATTATATAAAGGAGGTGTCTTCCTTTCGCGATAAAAATCATTCAGAATTCAACATTGAAAAGGTGTTTGCTTCACTAACTCCACCTGATAAATAGAATTCATACAAAGTCTAACTTTGTGGCATTAGTTTAGAGATCCAGAGCTCTAATCTATTCACCCTAATTATCCGAGCCAAATCTTCCAACCTCGATCGAAGTCCTTTCATTATTAGGACAAGATTAGATAGTGTAGAGTTTGTGTAGATAATTTTTGTTGTTGTGTATAGCTCTAGTAATTCCTCAAAACAGTCCCAAATTTTACAACGTACGTAGTAAAAGCTTATTGATCAATCCTTCTTTGAGGTCTGCACTATTTATGCAAGGCAGTGCATTATAATTTTGGTGAAACATTTCTTTATTCAATCCTTTAAATTCAAGTCTCAGAATTGATTTCAATAAACATTTTCTCAAATTTTAGGATGGAACCTAATGACCATCCAACCTTATTTCACGATTTGAAATATGTATTTGAATCTATTGGAACTGTTTTATGGTCTTTCCAACTACTTCCTCAAGGTAACAGGTAACATTAGTTAATCCTATTTTTGTGTATAATAACGTTGTAGTTTCATAATTTTTTTTTAAACAAGTCCACAAGAATTGGCGTAATGGATCAACGAAAGGTATGTTACAGTATTATTTATTTTATTTATTTAGATTAAAACAAGAGTAGTCATTAAATATATATTGAATTAAAAAAAGAGTTTCTGCCGGTTATATGATTAAGTTATGCAGACATACGCACAAATCCAATTTCGCTCAGCGTTCGTTTGACTAATCTTGTATAAAATTAATTTAATTAATATGAAATTTAAGGAATTCTATGAATATTATTATCGTGGTTTATGCTGAAATTTGGACCTATTTTGATATGAAGTACGAAAATATGAATTTGTTTTGAATATTTTTCAGCTTTTTTCTTTCTTTCTTTTTT